CAAGGCTAAACCAAAAACAAAATTCGGTAAAGCATTCAATAATTCCAAGAAGATAAATTTGGAGTTGTTTAGCCCCAACGGTTTTCAAGAGGAAACTGTTCTGAATTTAGATTTGACTCTAGCGCCACCAGGAGAGTTATCAAGTTAAAAATTAAGCTAGAAAGCAGAGTAGAAAGTTAGTACTAATCGGAAGGGCGAATTAGAGTTCATATTTCATCAAGGAGTTGCAAGATTTAAGGTGATCGGTAAGAAAAAAATATTGAAAAATATTTTTGTATAGCCAAAATATTAGTAATTTTCTAAACTTTTTTCTTATCGGATTTGAGATAGTTTAGTAGAGATTTGGATCGCATACATATCAGTTTATCTTTTACCATAAAGTTCTTTTCTGTTTGAAAAAAAAGATAGGCCTTCTATCAAGACAACATATGAGATGGCCAAGAAAGGGTCGACAAATGTGGTCCAAAATTGTCCAAATTTGTTAGTAATAAAAAAATGAAGCGCAAGAAGAGACTCGCGAAACAATAGAAATTGAGGCACTCTCACTCAGCCTCTCGAGTCTTGACCGACTGCGCGCCCCCATCTCGTACTATTCATAAACTACCACTTTATACTTGCGATTTGGGAGAAAAATAAATTAAGAAATCGCGCGACACGGCAGAAAGTCGAACGTCCTTTCTATCCAAAAAAAAAAAAGAAAAAAGAAAAAAGAAAAGAAAATCGAGCGTCCTTCACCGACCTTTTCTTTATTGTAAAATTAAGTACTTCCTCACCAAGTAAGGAGAACTACAGAATCAGAATCGAACATTCCATCATAGAATTCCAAAATTCGCACAAAAAACTTTTTCAATCGCGCGATCTTAGAAGAGCTTCTCTCCTCTGCTATATATATTCCGAACCTATTTGCTTCGAGTTAGAAACAGAGTCACACGACAACACAAATATATCCATGGCTATATTCGCCAAGTGTCTTAGCAGGACAGATGTTAGGAAGAGACTGTCTGTACCCAGCAAGTCTCAAGTATTTCCCGTTGTCCGGCGAACATCATGCGGTTGACTTCAAGGTCAAAGACGAGAACGGTCGGGTCTGGACATTCCGGTGCTATACTCGCAAGAAAAAGCACCTGAAGCCGGTTCTTACCAAGGGATGGCGTGAGTTTGTTTGCACCCAAAAGCTTGAAATTGGGGACAAAGTGGAGTTTTGCCGGGACGGTGAAGAAGGAAGCGGCACCGGGTACCGTATTAAAGTGAAGAAAGTTGTTAGAGTATTTGGTGCTGCTTTTGGGCACGTGACAATTGGTCTCCCTGATTAGGTCTATGGATTTTTTTCACAATCTTGTAAAAAGTTGTAGTAGTATGTTTTTTCGGAATAAAATTGTTAAGGTTTTCATTTGTTTGGTGGAAATTGTTAAGGTTTTCTGGGAAAGTAGAATGTGTACATAAACTCTAAAGAGGCGTGCAACTCACTTGCCCGTTGGATGGCCGTTGGCCTTGTCCAGTCAGCACAAACTTTGTGCAAAAATGTCTACAATGTGGGCCCATCAATTTTAGTAAGGATAATAATAGACACCGTGCCTTCGCATTAAGCCTAATGCGAGGAATTCTGTTTCTAACTTTCGATATCGTCCGATTTTGGGTCGCGAATGGACCACAAGGTGGGCCCAGGCTGCTTTAAAGAGGTTTAGGGAAGAAAGTTTGCTTCCAATTCCAAATAGAACAACTGATTGCTGGCGTCAGGGTTAGACAAACGGAGAACAAATGGGTCTGGAAATGGGTCTGGAAAGATCTACCAAAAGAAAAGATCTTTTATTTATTGTACCAGCCAGAGAAAACTGAGCCCTTTGTATAGTTGAATTCTCCTCATCATCACCATGGTTAAACATGATCCAATTGGCCAACCGCGTTCGTAACCTAATGATAAAGGTTCAATGGTATGGTACTTTAATCTTGATTTCGAGCTCCATCATTAATGTTATTCCTCTACTCCCCTTTATTATTACCTTATTCCAAAGAAAAAATAGATCCAATTGAAACAATATAAATAATGTTACACTTAAAGCTGCTACTTCATTTACCAAAGGAAATTCACCGGCGAGAGAAAAATGAGCCCCTCGTATGGTTGAGTGAAAACTGGGCCCCTTGTATGGTTGAGTAAAATGATCCTCATCTATAAATAGACGTAAACACCTGCACCTGCTACTTCATTCGCCAAAGCATCTTCAATCTCCCCTACATTACTTTTTCTTCTCCTAACATTGAAAATTTCCACAATTTTACCACCATGCCTCATCCAATCATGCTCTTTAAGAAACCTTTGAAGCCCACTGACATCACCAAAAGGCTGGCTATCCCAACAAAGTGTCTCGATTTCCTTCCACATTTCAATGGAGGCCACGCTGTAAAATTGAACGTTTTTGTACCAGGGAAGGGTTTGGCCGATGGTATGCAGCACTAGGAAACAGAGGCACAAAAAACCTGTTCTCTCTAATAGTTGGATTCCCTTTGTTCGCGAGAACCACTTGAATGTTGGTGATGTAGTGGCCCTCTACAAGGAGGTAGATGAAACAGGATTGCAATATCGGATGGAGGTGTACAGGGCAACCAGGGTGCCTCCACCTAATGGAAATTCGGGGGTCGCAACGCCTTACAAGACTAAAATGAAAACGGGATTCAAGCAGTTCGGTGAAGAATTATTCAATAGTTCTAAGAAGATATGTTTAAGATTGGCAAGCGATCCAGAGGAAATTGTTCTGAATTTGGATTTGACTCTAGCACCACCAGGGAATATACCAAGCTAGAAAACACAGTAGAAAATCAAAGGCAATCAATATGCTTAATTTCTACCTTCTATCTATCTCTTTTTTTTTAGGAAATTTGGAAAAAAAAAGGAGATCAATTTTACAAAGACTAAAATCAAGATCTTAATCTTGGTAAAACTGTATCTTATCTAATGTAGTTTTGCGGAGGCTTTCTACCTTTTATCTTGTTTTGTTTTTATAGTGAGTTTCTAAAAGAGTTAGCAAGAATCAGTCTATCACATTTACTTTTTTTAGTAAGAGTTTCTAGAAGAGCAAGAAACTATCACATATTTATGTTTAATGGTGAAGGGAGAGGTATTTACCGGGGCGCAAACTTACTACTTAAAGGGCTGACTCTCAATGATCAATAACTTTTGCTTTTGGAGTATGTGATCTAATTTAGAGTTTAATCTTTTATTAATCAAAATATTTGTCATGACATATTTACATATAATGTGTATTTGTCTTTCACCTTAAAGTTTTGGTCTTATTTGAAGAAAAGCCTTTTGTCTAGACAACAGATTTCATCTTTTTATTTTTTAATTTTTATAAGCAACATATTTCATCTATCTATTACCACAAGGAAAGAAAAGACAAGAACAAATTGTTGTGGGTCCACAACAGTCCAAGTTGAAAACAAAAAGGAAAGAAACTCGCGATGTAACAGAGAATGAGGCGTGCGCACTCTGCCTCTCGGTCGACCGACCGTCCGTCTTATATTTCATTAACCATTACTACATAAAACATACTTGCGATGCTATCCGATTTGAGAGGAAAATAGATTAACAAACACACAGCAGAAAATCAAAGAGTCTACCTCTTCTAATTTTTCTCTTTACAAAATCAAGTACTTGATTACCAAAAAAAATTCAAAATATGAATAAAAACAGTTAAACTCATGCGAGGGATGAAAAAGAGCAAGCAACTATTACATATTTATGTTAAATGGGGAAGGAGAGGAATCCCTTCCGGCTCCAAGCTAAAACTTTAATTAATTATTAGAGTATGTGATTTAATTTTGAAGTTTTATTAATCGGACACTCTCATATCATATGCTATGTGTAATGCGCATTTATCTTTCACCTAAAGATTTGTTCTTGTTTTGAAAAAGAGCCTTTTGTCTAGATAACACAATTCATCAACTATTACCATGGCACTACCAAAGAAGAAAAAGACATTGACACATGGGTCCACAAGAGTCCAATTTTTTCTCTTTTTGATGACACAATAGTCCAAATTAAAAGAAAGAAAAGCAAGAAGAAACTTGCGGTACAACAGAAAATGAGGC